TATGTTTAGATTGTGTGACATTATGTTTAATACTTTATAATGCTCAATCAATAAAGATCCTAAAGAAGGATTTCCGCCATTTTCATATGAATATTTTCAGTAGCTCATTTATCACTTTGACAGGTGTACATTCATCCTTGTGACTCAGACGATGGGTGAGCATCTGTGCATTCTGTCAGGACATGAATAACCCGAAAAAAGAAAAAAAAGAAAAAGAAAGAGCTTGTACCTTAGTCACCAACCCTGATGAATAAATAAAGATTGAGCCGCTCGAGTCGAGCACACCTTCATGTTCTGTCATTGCCTGTGATTTACACTCAAATGTTCAATTGGACCTGACATGTGACATCAAATTTTTAAGGCCTTGTAAGTGATCTCACTGTAAACAGGCCCTGTTTTATTGACAGGATTAAAATTGCATGGCCCACATGCTGAAATATGTGCCGTGCTGAAATCTGATCTTGATGGACACTGTGGCACCATATCTATAACCTCATTGTGTCTATGATATATGCACTTGCCTGGCAGAATCAAAGAGACTATTTGTTTCCCTGTCATTCTGCCATGATCCAGCATATAAGCACTATTCATTTGGGTCATACAGTAAAAAAAAAAGTGGGATCATTATCTATTGTTGAAAGCACACTGAAGCAGAAACAAAGCAATGCATGATCTCCTAGGGCTATTTAAACATGCAATTGACAGCAAACAAATCAATTGACAAACAAGCTAATAAAGAAATGGAAAATATAAACAGGCGAAAGGGAATAATATATGGTTGTAAATTGTAAAAGCATCATGGTTCATCTTAGCATGTCGGATATGCTAACTACCCCAACGGTCAGATTTATGGAACTTTCAAACTTCTGTTCGTGACCCTCTTACTTTCATTGTATCATGATATGTTTTGCAGATCAAATAGTTTCTTATGGTGTCTTAAAACTTATTTTAAGGATTTTAAACCAACTTTTTGTTATGATTAAGGATGCATTAAAGGGAAAATCATAGGCAATAACTAAAAAATGATAACAATAACTCAAAATCAAACTGAAACCACTTTTCAATATTAATAATATTTGTTTTATTAAATAATATAATTTTTTAAGACTTTTTATTTTTTATTTAGCTTAATGACTTCTACAGAATCCCACTATCCACAGAGCAGAATATTGAGTTATTTTAAACTTTAACCTCTTGTACTTTGTTTGACACAGCAACAATCCAGCCTTTGCATGACATGGCAATGATGGCACACTACTCTTTTCCAGAGAAGCACCATGGCCTCGGACTTGGAGGTGCTGATTCTTATCCCAGCTGCGTCTCACTCTGCAGGAAACTGCCCATGTGCAAGCTGAAGGTCTATGTTCGATGAAGCCAACATAACAACATTGTCTGCGAATAACAGAGAAGCAATCCTGTGGTCGCCGAACCAGACCCCCTCCAGCCAAAGGCTGCACTTTAAAATTCTGTCCATAAAAATATGAACATAATTGGTGACAAGTGCAGCCTTGCCAGAATCCAACATGCACTGGAAACAAGTCTGACTTATTGGCAGCAATGCAAAGCAAACTACTCTGTTGAGGACACCCAGGTGAAAAAAACAAAAAAAAAAACAAACAATATGATTAAATGCAATTAAAATACACTTAAATACCCGCAAATACATTTTTAGTACATTGTTATTTTTTTGTGTTAAATAAAAGTTTGATGGTTTTACACTATAAATATACTAATTAAAAGTATTTTTATAGTTGAGTAGGACTTTAGTACACTTGAAAAAAGTAGTAATACTTAAATACATTTTTAGTGTACTACAATAAAGTACACTACAGAAAAAAAAAAAAAAAACATCCAAAAGAGTTTTATTAGTGTGTTTTTCAAAAGTGTGCTTTAAATGCTTTAAACATTAGTTGATTTTTAGTACACTGTTTACATACTAATCCTAAGTTTAAAATAAGTTAATATATGAAAAAATTATTAGTAATGTTTTGTAGTAGAAGTACATTTTCCCAAAATACTTCTAATACAGTATTCAGCACACATTTTTACAATTTGTATATTCTTTTAATATATTACTATTATACTTTAAATTAGTCATAAATATATTTAATTTTTTTAAAGTATGGTTTCAAGTGTATTTCTAGTTGTAACTAAATATATATATTTTTAAAATACAGATATAGTATGTTAAAAGCACATTTTAGCACAGTTGAGTACACTTAGATGGTATTAACTTTATCTTAACATATACTTAATACTATCTTTTAGTGCATTAAGTACAAAATTAGTGTGCGAAAATACTGAATACTGAAAAGTGTACTAAGTATACTTAAATAAAGTGCATTTTAGTGCACTTTATTTTTACCTGGGCAGTCTTGTCTCTGTATGAACAGAACGCCTCTGACCCCATACTCCTGGAGCATCTTCCACAAAATGCCACAAGGGTTAGTCAAATGCCTTCTCCAATTCCACAAAACACACGTGAACTGGTTAGGCATACTCCCATGAACCCTTGAGCACCCTGGTTAGGGTATAAAACTGGTCCAGCGTACCAAAGCCTGAACAAAAACCATATTGTTCCTCCTGTAACCTAGGTTCAACTATTGGCCGGATCCTTCTCTCCAGTACCCTGGTATAGACTTTCCCAGGGAGGCTGAGGAGTGTGATTTCCCTATAGTTGGAGCACACCCTTCGGTACGCTTTCTAAAAAAATGGGAACCACCACCCCAGTTGCCCAGCACAGAGGTATTGTCCTCGACCGTCTTGCAATATTGTAGAGACGTGTTAGTCAAGACAGCAACAGAGACATAAGACACACAGCGTAAATCTTTGACATAAAACTACAATCAATCAATCAATCAATCAATCAATCAATCAATCAATCATTAAACAGACCAATCAGTCAACCAATGAACATTCAACCAATCAATGAATTAACTCATTAATTACTAATTATAATGACACTGAAAATAAAAAAAGAAAGTTAATGCAATATGAACATTGCCCCTCATCGTGTAATCAAATTTGACAAAATCGCATGTTTTGGCATCCTGTGAGCAATAAGGGTTTTAGAAAGGAGATCCAGCCTCATCTACTCATTTAAAACGCATATTGCACCTTAAAATCCTCCATCAGCACTTTCTCTAGTGTGTAGGCATTACCACACCGGACAGACAATGGAGTGTGAACATAATAAAATGTACTGTACTGTAAAATAGATTCAATTCAGCACAATGGCCAAATTTACATAAGAGCAACTGGATCCCACTCAGGCTTTGATTTGCCAATGCCTGGTGAACAATGAAGGCTTCTGCAGCTGATGGGCCATTTCCTGTTCTCTATCTTCTCTTTAACCTTCTGAACGGCCTTCTTTTTCAAAGCTCAATACCGCCTCAACCAGACAGTTACTCATGACACACTTCAGTAAAATAGAGTGTGCGAGACAAATGGGAACAGATTGTATGCCATTCACGGCCAATTAAAAGATTTGCACCAAATATGTTGCCCATAGCACCTGCAGTTGATGGGAGATTGTAAGTATTGCCTCATTTATACTGATGCACGGATGGTTGGAGGCTAGCTGTGCTTCACATGACAGTAATGACTGCTTATGTCTAGTTGGCATTCGGCAGCAAGTTGTTGTCATGGCACCACTTTGATCTACATTCTCTTTTCTTTATGATGTATCATCATTGTTGTTGATTAATCCCATTACTCTAGTGTCTGCAGGAAATGTGTTGATGTGGATTTTGTAATGTATACCAGAATAAAATGATGATTAAAATGGGGTTAAATATTTAACAATAGCTCAGCACAAGACATATCATTAGCATCATTATCAAAGCTTACACATATGTTAGGTATAATGTGTGCTGTCCATGGTGCTGAAATGCAGCATGCTTGCATACTGAGACACTAGCTGGGTCTCATTTCAGAGGCTGCATCCTCCAAATTATGTAAATGTAGGGTGCTGCGTCATCACAATGCAACGAGGCTGTATAGATCAAATATATAACCAGCTTCTGTAAACCTTGCAGATCGCTTAAAATAAGTTTTAAAGTCACTTTCAAAAAAGTCATTACAAATTATATTACAGCTTTAACCCCAATTAAGTATTAAAAAGGTCATGTGTTGGTATTGGGGGTCTTCAACAAGAGTTAGATATGCATTCAAGGTCAAAAAACACTTTCATTGTCTGATAGTTTGCATTTATTTTTGCCTAATTATCCCAACGACTCCTATATGATTCGTTCCGCGATTTATTTGTTCCCAAACCCCTCTTTAACGCGATGCTAATCTGTGCCGATCGGTCCGGTGACCCAATCTGTTGTGATTAGTCGATTGCGTTCAGCACGAGAGAGATAAATGCCTACACCTTATCAACAATTTTGAAGTAGTCAGAGTGCAGAGTGTATGTGTGAGCCTAATTCAGAAGTGTATTAAAGCAATGCAGTTAAACATCATATTGCTTTATTCTTAACCATAAGTAAAACAGTGACACACACACACATATATATATATATATATATATATATATATATATATAAAGAGTAAACCAGATATAGTACAAGTGGTTACAAGTAGCAAAACACAAATAACTACTTAATTTGCAAGCTACAGAAAACAAGGAGGCAACCATTTTAATCGAACTTAAGTTACTTACACTTGTGAAATGGATGAAGAAACTGATCCATGAACTGTGTATTGTAAAGTTCCTGTGAAGCTCTGATAAAGTTCCACACATAGTCTTTTCTGATCCTTCCTCCAACAAATGGCCGATGAATCCCCCATTGTTAGTGTGTAGATTGCTGCACTTATCAGAAAAATGACTGGAACAACAGCACGAGGCTGGGGCCATAATGCTGAGGTATTTTGAAAAAATCAACTTCAACCAAAGACTCTTCACAGACTCATCTTTGGCTAGGGAAAATAACATGAACTTTCCCTCACACTTCAGAGTACAGCGTCTATGCGACTTGATTCAACTGGGATCTGCTACACTGTAACAAATTGCTGTAGTTTTTACAGCAAAATTATACAGGAATTTATTGTTTTAACATTTCACAAGTTATTATTGTAATTCGCAATGCATTATGGGTTAAACCAAGAGTTACAGTTGTTAACTGCAAATTTCTACGGGGACTGTAAATTAATATACAGGTAGGAGGTGTGTTAATGTAGATTCTGCGTTTTTACAACAACATGTTGTAGTGTGGAATTATGGGATTTCGCGGGCTGATGCAGATTTGAAATATGGTGGACTGGACAAGCGGGAGAAAACAGAAGGCATTATTCGTTAATTTCAAGGTAAGTTCATCATATTAACGTCTATAAATGATAAACATATCTTCTTTTGTTTATTTCATGCAAGCGATTCATTAAACATGTAACAATTGTTAACGTAATGATTTGTCACACTGATATCACGGCATTTTAATTATATGTAAAAGTTCCAATCGTTTTAAACTTATTTGTTTAGTGAAGCAGAGTGTCGTTGTCACAACCAGCGATCGCTCCCCAGAGGATCGCTTGTTCTCACACGAACTCAGGACTTCATTTCCGCATTCCCCAGGACTACACATTCATACATGCACTGCTCCCAAACACGCACGCCTGCTCACTCATGTATCCTGATTGCAAGCACCAGCTGAGCCTTGTTCACAGACTGATTACATCCCATTCATAAGCCACCCTCTCACGCTACCAGTTGCCGAGTCTTGTTTTCCTAGTAACATTACAATGCGTTTCCCTGTCTTGTTTCTCCGTGTTTCGATCTTAGCCTTGTATCCCAGTTATCCTGTTAAGCCGCCTGCCTTTTGACCTTCTGCCTGTTTATATCGACTACGATTCTGGACTGCCTGTATATACCTGTTTGCACCTGATGACCATTGATTGCCTGACTATTGAATAAACTGCATAGTGGATCTTACCTCCTGTGGTCTCCTGTCACTCCACCCCAGTCGTGGTAACAGTCGTTAAATTAAAATTTTTTCTTTAGTCGGCAAATTAAGCCGTGCATGATGCTAGTTAGGTTGCAGGATGCGGTACGAACCCAAACGACAAAGGCAAGTGACTAAAAACATAAGTCATTAATGCTGATGAATAATCGTATTGTTTTAATACCATGTTTTTCACCTGTCGTCAAGTGTTTTTTTTTTATTCGAGCATGCCTTAAGTTAGCAGTTTGGCTAGCGCAACGTGAGAGTTTGTAAGGCTAAGTTACATTAATGTTACATTATGCGGGCAGTCAGATTCGAAAAACAAACAAATATAACGTTAATGTTTTTATAGCTGGCTGCTGGATTTTGTTGGATCGATCATTTAAATGTAATTTGCATGTTTCGATTTATTGATGTGATTTGATTTGTGTACAACGTGATATCAGTGCATTTAGTTGCATGTAAAAGTTCCGATGTTTTAAGCTAGTTTGTTTTGCTAGTACATTAAAGGAGATTGTAACTCAAATGTAATATCTTGTTTCAGGAACTTTGGTGAAAAAATCAAGACGTGGTGAATTAGGTTGTTGGAGGTGACTCGAATCTGATCGATAAAGGTAAAACAAACACATTAAAACATTATAGCCCAAGTCTAATGCTAATGAACTCAACGTATTGCCACCGTGTTATCGTGTTTTTGTCGTCATGTTGTTAACGTTAGTGTATTAACAGTTTGAAAAGCGCCACATTTTTCGAAGGGCTTGTGGCTAAACATAATAAACAAAAGTTTTGTTTTCGCATCACAAATATAATGTTTTCATAAATTGGATGCTGGATTCACATGTTGGATTTTTCCATTTAATTTTACTGTTTCAATTTCTGTTTTGAATTTGCAGAAGGAACGTTAACAAAGCTCTGTGGCGTAACAAAATTTAACTTAAAGCAGAAAACGCAGCGATAAGATAATAGGCTATTGGTCCAAATAATTTCCATTCACTTACTACACTTAATTCAGATGAATATAGATGAATAATGTATCTCTGTAAATTATGTCAGCACGAGAGCAAAACCATTCTTGGTTATACTCAGCATATGAAAGTGCACAGCAATTTTCCATACTGCTCCTTCACCTGTGGTGTACCTGACTGTTGCCGTGTGCTTACAAAATTTGCAGCATTCAAATCTCATCTATATAGAGACCATAAGATTTAACCAGTCAGACATAACTTTAATCTGCCAGATTGAATATTGTCTTTACAAATGTACAAGTCTGAAGGATTTGATTAGGCATTTAAAAGATCATATAGATGAAGGAAGGGAAATAAAATGCCCTTTTAAAAGCTGTGTGAGGACATTTAGCGTAAAATCCACTTTTGCTTCCCATATCTCAAGAACACACAAAAATGATCAACCTGAGCACCTGCATGATGCAGTTTTAGCAAACCCATCACAGTTTGAGTGTCAACCCTGTACATCTCTAGATGAAAGTGAAGAGCCTGAGCCAGGTGAGATTTTTGAAAGCGTAGATGAAGATTTATTTCTGAAGAATTTGACTTTGTTTTATTTGAAACTTCAAGCAAAACTTCTATTACCTTCATCTGTAATTCAAACAATAATTGAGGAAGTCCAAGGAATACATGATTTAGCTCAGGCACATGTTTTTCTAAAACTTAAGGATAAATTGTCTGAACATGGTGTTTGTACTGACACAATAATAAATGTAATTGAAGAACTAAAAAAAAATGACATGCTGAAAGCAGGCAATTCTGTTTTGCGTACAGATCAATGTCGCAAAACAGTCTTTAAAAACAACTTCAATTATATTGAGCCAGTTCCTGTGTATTTGGGTACTAATGACTTGGGGAAGGATTGCTTTGCACAGTACGTGCCTATAAAAGAAACTCTCAATGCCCTTTTTAAATCAGAGGAATTCAAAAGGCAATATGAACTATCTCATTCTCGCTTACCAAAAATGGATTTGTTTGAGGACATATGGGATGGACAAAATATTGCTAAAAGTGCCTTATTTAAAATGGACAGTTCATCTATAGCATTGATCCTTTATCAAGATGCTTTCGAAGTTGTAAATCCTCTGGGATCAGGTCGAAAAAAAACAAGATTTTTGCAGTTTATTTAACACTTGGTGATATTTTACCACATAACAGATCAAATATCGATCAGATGCAGCTTGTTCTTCTCTGCAGGGAACAGGATTTTAAGTGTTTTGGACAGGAAATAGTTTTTAATCGATTGATTAAAGACCTAAAAGACCTAGAGGACAGTGGCATTGTACTGAAGGATGGCAAAGTTATTAAAGTGGCTCTGTGTGCAATAGCAGGAGACAACCTTGGGTCGCACGGTATTGGTGGTTTCCTGGAGAACTTCAGCAGAAGTACTTATTTTTGTAGATTTTGTGATGTAGACAGACAAACATTTGAGTGCAGTCCATTGTCAGAGGGTTCAAAAAGAACAAAGCTGTCATATCAGCAAATTATAAAAGACCTAAGAGAAACCAACTCTGAATCTGTATTTGGTATCAAATTTGACTCTGTATTCAACCAACTGCTTTATTTTCATGTTTGTGGGCCTGGTCTTCCACCATGTCTAGGTCATGATCTTTTTGAGGGTGTTGTTTCCAGTGACTTGGCATTATGTATCAACCACCTGGTAAACAAAGGGAAGCATTTCACTTTTAAAGAACTGAACAGAAGAATAAGTCAGTTTACCTATCTTGGTAGTGAAGCAAATGACAAACCTCCGGAGTTTTGTCCAAATAGTGAGAAGTTAGGTGGGCACGCAGTCCAAAATTGGTGCCTGTTGAGAGTCCTTCCTTTGTTGGTTGGTGACAGGATAAAAAACCCAACCGAATGTAGTGCATGGAACATGATTTTGCTTTTAAGAGAAATAGTTGTCCATGTGTGTTCACCAACTATTACAGCTGATCAGGTTGCTTATTTGGGTGTCCTCATAGAAGAATACATCCAGTCTAGAGTGGAACTATTTCCAGGTTTTCCCCTTAAACCTAAACATCACTATCTCTGTCACTATCCAGAGCTCATAATCCAGTTTGGCCCTCTGATTCGTCTTTGGACGATGAGATTTGAAAGTAAGCACACTTACTTCAAACAGTGTGCAAGAAAATTGCACAACTTTAAGAACCTGTGTGCTACTTTAGCAGAGAGACATCAACTTTTACAATCATACTTAAGTGCTGGGAATCTTTTTCCACCTGTAATTCAGGTAGGAAGAGGAAATGAGTTTTATACCAGTGACTACAATGACAACATCAAGGCAGCTACTTCAGCATTCAGTTTCACTCATGAATCCACTGTAGCTGCAAATGAAGTCATTTACAAAGGCACAAAGTACAAAAGAAACATGTACGTTGTACTAAATCAAGATGAAAAAGGTCTACACATAGGTGAGATTCAACTGATTTTAATTCATTGCAATGAATCTGTCTTCTTTGTTGTGAGGAGGCAGCAGGCTGTGCAACTTGTTGATATGGGTGTCCATTGCATAGTAGAGAAAGTTGAAGATTCTAACTACCTGTGTGTAAAACAAGAGAATCTCCTTGATTATTATCCATTATCACAGTACACGATGAACGACTTACCAGTGATTGTTTTCCATCACTCTTTTCCAGATTTATAAAGGCATGTCCACGTTGGATGAGGACGTACGAGATGCTGTATTGGCAGTCCTACCTGGGCTATCAGAGGAGAAACTAGTGTCTCTTTTGAACAAATTGGCAAGCATAGGAGTTGAATCCAAATCTGACTTGCAGTTTGTTAAAGAGGACGATCTTCCTGATCACATCACACCAATACAGTGTCGTCGGCTCCTCAATGCATGGAATATAGAAGGTATGCCATAGTCATCTTTATGATGACTGGTGCAAAATTGCTTGACATTACAGATTGATTGGTATACTTTGCATAGATACAATTTTCTCACCTACATGTTGTCTCAAACACATTCAACATTTCCTTTTTTATGTGTGGAGCAGTAACAAAGTTTTATTTATTTATTTTTTTTAATGGAGAAATGTGATTTTGTTTATAAAGTGCATGTCAATGTGGCCCAATTCATTCCAAGTTAAATAATAAGAAATTAGTCATCATAAAGGTAATTAAAAGCATCCATGTAACATAATAGAATATTTTACTGAAGACAGTTTAAACTGTTTAAACTTAGTTTAATAATACGTGATTAAATTGGATTCAGATAAATAACCTTCATGCTTTTATTTCTTATTTGAAACTGAACCGTTTCAGAGCCCAAGTAAGGACCCTATTGACTTGCACTGTATGGATGTAAATCACAGTTATTTTAAATTTATTTGTGTTCCACTGAAGTAAGTTGTGTCTGAGACAACATAAGGGTAAATAATAAATAGCTTGAACTATGTCATTGTTCATAGTTGATAGGTCCTGAACTGTATTAAGATATTAAGGGCAAATGTTTATTTTTTTTGTGTTTTTTTTTTTTTTTTCAGACAAAACAGTTTGTGCCAAAGTATCACCTTTAGAATCCACAAACATAGTCTTTGATGTATCACCAGTAAACTCACCATCTTCAAATTTCAGTTCCTCGTGTACACCAAGTGTCTCTAGCACAAACAGCTCCAGTTCAACTGTCGATTTAACTGTATGGCCTGAAAACTTTGAAGTTCCATGGAATCGGATGTCTTCTGGTATTAAAACTGCCACTGCACTGGGTAGACGCCCCACAGCTAAAGAACGCAGAGAAATGGTGAGAATCATTGTTGATGAGATGAGACAGACAGAGTTAAATCCATCAAAATCACAATGTCTGATTGTTGCAAAGAAGATTGTTAAACAGTACCCACAAAGCTTTGCTGATGTTTTGAAAGATGGCACAAGAATTGGGACTGGCTATGGATCCCTTTTGATACAGCTAAAAACAAGAGTGGAGCATGTTAATCTTGGCTGCTCATTTTCGAGACGCAGGAAACAAAAAAAGACCTCAAATTCACCACCCGAGGACACTGGACCAGGGCCTACTGACCAGTATGGATGTGTAAGGTGGCAGCCTGAGTGTCCTGTTGATGATACTGAAGAAAGTCTCCAAGAAAAGCAGGAAGAAATGAAGGACCTCTATAGTTGTAAGGGGCCAGCTGGAGCTCAAAAAGGACATCTAAGTCAATTAATGAAAGCTACATACTACCTCCAACGTAAATCGATTAATGCCTGTCCACCACCATCCATTGCTGAGTTGAAAAATGAGTGGCCATATCTTTTTACACCCAAAGAACTGTATAGCCACTTTAAGTCACTTACCAACATCAGCATTTTGGAAAGACTTGAGAAGTCCATGGAAGAAAAAGGAAAGATGATTCTTCAGTTTTTCCGTCAAAAGCCAGCAGGGACCAAAACAGATGAGATTCAGCGAATACTTCTGAAGTTTGATGATAGTGGAGCTTCAAGTTTCATTCCATGTGTGGTCCTTGTGCTTCTGTCACACTTTAAAGAAAAAAACGATGCACTGATTCTTCAGACGGATGTAAGTCTTATAGTGTATTTTTAAAGTACATATTTTGTTCTTATAACCGAAAAGTAAATGCATTTTAATCAAACCCCCCCCTCTCACTTTTTTCTTGTAGGTGTCAGCAACAGCAGGTGATGTGGAGAAAAGCTTGGTGCTTCCAGACTCTCCAAGACTAATTGTCTTAGGTAATGTACAATGTCCTGTAATAAATCTGTAAATTTATTAAATAAACTTTGCAAGCATTTTTGTGTAAGTGTTGCTTATATATTTATTAATTTTAGGGGACATTCTCACTGCAACTCAGTGGATGCTGAGCAACGAGGGACAAGTAGTTGTTGGTCCACACCCCAATTTCATAGGTGGATTTGCAGCTTTGTTTTCAAGCTACTACAACTTCAATCTGGTGTACCAGGAGCAGGCGTCTTGCACACTCGAATTTGTTCAAAGGTAAGAAAATGACTTAAATAGAAGTTCTGTCATCATTTACTCTTCCTCACTTGTCATAAACATCTTTTAGTTCTCTTTGCTTTTGTTGAACACAAAAGAATATATTTTGATGAAAGAAAAACACTTCTAATCATTCACTTCCAGAGTTTTTAGGTTGAACTACACCTTAAATACAACTCAAATGCATTTTTTATTCATTTATTTACCCTCAGGCTATCCAATATTTAGGTGACTTAATGATTTATTATAGTCTCATGCAAAAGTTAAATTATCAGTCTTTGCAAGAAACTAATTATGATGATAACTATTCTACTTTTAAACCATGTACAGGATAAGCCAGACAACTCTGGAGCTTGAGTTTTCTTTCACAGAAAGACATGTTAATTGTAAATCTTGTGTGAACCAAAATGATTCTTATTTACACACATTGTACCTCTGTTGTAAATAATAAATTCAGTTAATTTATGTTTCTGGTTGCGTGTTCCATCATATGACAGAAAGCTTGAGCTCTGGATTAGTTTGTTATGGCAGTGCTGTACAAACATTTTTTTGTACAAACTGATTGTTTCCCTTCATATGACCACAATATATCTGTTATATCTATCTTTTTATGGTAGTCATTTACTTTCATTATAAAACTCACAACAGACCACAGTATCAGTTAAAACCTTAATTTTCAACTGAAGGAAACTACACTGCAAAAAATGCTTTTCTTGCTTAGATTTTTGGTCTTGTTTCTAGTCTAAATATCTAAAATTTCTTAAATCAAGAAGCAATTTCTAGACAAGCAAAACATATTGTCTTGTTTTGAGAAATAAAATGCCAATATTAAGTTAGTTTTTCCTTATCTGCCAATGGGGTAAGCAAAATAATCTTGTTTTTTCTTTTGACGTGTAAGATTATTTTGCTTACCCCATTGGCAGATTATTTTGCTTGTTTTAAGGAAAAATGTAAAATTTAGGAATTTTAAGATATTTGGACTAGAAACAAGACAAAAAAAAATCTAAGTAAGAAAAGCATTTTTGCAGTGTAGTTTTATTTTATTGTAAAGCTCCTGTCTTTATTTTATGACTGGTCTTTTTGCAGATGCTTTGTTGGAATCAATCCACCCACTGGGACCAAGGCAGCCACAGCAAAGATTGGAGGAAAAAAAGGTGGAAAGGTGTCAGAGAAGAGGAACCACACAGTCAATCCTCATGTTGGTACTCTTCTCAGAAAGCTAATGGACTTTGAATGGTTAAGCATGTAAGTGAGTTCAAAGTTCAAATACAGGACTTCTGCAAAATGAACAAACTTGTTATAGACACACATTTATAATATTTTGATTGTTCAAGAACATCTTAAAGCTATTTGTACTTTATTTTTTGAGAATGTTTTTCAGCAATGTTCAGCAACAGAAATGTTATTTTACAAGTTGAACTCTTAGAGTGCTCTGCTGTCAGTTTTAAAAAAAATAGTTTATTACAATTGTTTGTATAGACACGTGATGTTGTAACATTTGGGATATCTTTGGGATATCAAAATATCTTATTTACTGCCACTTTTGACACTTTGTGAATATAGATAATTTTGTTAAAAGAAATTGTTTAAATGTGGTAAAGTGTTTTGGCATAGCTGATTCACTTTATTGAGTTTTAATCAACCCAGAATATTGCTTCAAATTTAAAGTCTTTAATAAAAAATAAATGCTGTTATTACAATAATTTTGCATTTGTTTTTTTTTTTATTATTATTAAAAATGTATAGTGTTTGTTTGGTGTATAGTGTAATGCATTTAAAACAAGTAATAGATTTGCTTACTGTAAAAAAAAATCATGATTTACAGCATTTTCAAGGTAAAACTATTACAACAACATCTTGGGTTTTGGGGTATTTACAAGATTTTATTGGCAACTTTAGTTGCCAGGTAAATACTGTAATGTAGTGGAATTACAAGAAAGTACTGTAATGTAAAATACAAGTTAATTTTGTATTGCTGTAAAAAACACAAGAAAATAATGTATTTCAAATACAATTATTAGCTGTAAATGGATTTACAGTATTTTACTGTAATCTATTTTACAGCAATTTACAACATTTTTACAAGACATTATTGGCAACTTTTTTGCCAGGTAATTCCTGTAAATTCTACAGTAAATTTTTTACAGTGTAGTGTTTGTCATCCTCTTTTTTTTACTACAGTGTTTGTGAGTGTGGCCGGGAGTTTAAATCTTCCCGGGCCTGCAGGCGCAACAAATGGGCAGGGTGTGAGTTGTATATCGACGTCACACCGACATGGCTAAAGATTCGTTACCACTATGAGTTAACCCTTTATAGATGAATCAATAGTTTTAAAACTTTCAAATTTTAACCTTAGGTGGATATTTCACTTCACTTAGAGATGTTACACACTGCATGCAAGGTCATTTTCAAACAAACTCATAATAGTGGCTCTTTAAAAATGCTCATTTCGGCTTGTGTGGACTTCGAAGAACTCACCTTTAAAGCCTCCAACCTTCAGAGGATGCAGTCTCTGAAATGAGACACAGCTACTGTTTAGAAGTGTTATGTAATGCAGAATGCAGGCTTGAAAATAAAGAATAGTTCATCCCAAAATGAACATTTACTCACTGTTTACTCACCATCAAGTGGTTCCAAATCTTTATGAATTTATTTCTTCTGTTGAACACAAAAGATGACATTTGAGGAAATCTGTAACCATTGACTTTCTTAGTAGGGGAAGCAAATATTATGTAAATGGTTACAGGTTTACAACTTTTTATTTTTATTTTTCCTGTATCTGTTACTTTGAGTTCAGATAAAAAATGAAGGATGAGTAAATGATATAATTATTTTACATTTTGAGAGATCTATCCCCTTAAATTTATCTGCAAACAAGTATCAAAATGGGGATAGAATGTGATTTAAGTGACTTTTGAATGTGGCATAATTGTTGACAGTTAGACAGACTGGCCTTAGTATTTCAGAAACTGCAGATCAGCCAGGGTTTTCATACAAATCTCTAGAATTTGCAGAAAATTGTCAGAAGAAGAGGAAAGTGAGTGTCAGCGAGTCCAGTGAGTGCCAGTTCTGTGGGTGAAAACTCCTTCTTGATGCCAGAGGTCAGTGGAGAATGAGCAGACTGGTTTGAGCTGATGGAAAGACGATAGTAACTCAAATAACCACTTGTTATAACTGCAGAAGTCTGCAGAAGAGCATCTCTAAATGGACAACTGGTTGAATCTTAAAGGAGAAGAGCACACCGGTGACAATGCTGACAGTTAAGAGCAGGAAAAATGTGGCTATTATTTGTAAAAGGGCACTGAAACTGGACCATTGACCAAAAAATAAAATAAAATCCTGCCTGGTCTGATGAGTCATTTTTTGCTGCAACATTCAAATTGTAGGTTTAGATCTTGCACGTCTCTCTTATTTATGATGCTTTATTCAGCCAGTTTGTTATATAGGAGCACCATGCATTAACTGAGTTCTAAAAACAGGGTCCCTATACAGTGTTCATTGATTCCTACTCAATTCTCCTTCATTGCTCTCTACCTGGGCACAATAACTCTATATTTAAATTTGACTATTTCATTCACAAATGTGTGCAATGTTACTGCCTTCAGCATCTTCACACAGACATGGCTGTTGCTAAAAGGAATAGAGCTGCAGCTGGAGAATTACAATAATTATTTATAGTGGAAGTAATTAAAGTAATTAAACTTTATTAATAATACTTAATTAAATTATTTTATTAATGCCTACCCCAATACTAAACCCAACCATCACAGTCATATAAAAACAGTACCTATACAGAATATTATTCAGATTATTTATTAAATTCTATTTTATTAACAGGGTTGTGTGGTGGGTAGTGCTGTCGCCTCACAGCAAGAAGGTCACTGGTTCGAGCCTTGGCTGGGGTCAGTTGGTATTTCTGTGTGGAGTTTGCATGTTTTCCCCATGTCTGAATGGGTTTCCTCCGGGTGCTCCGGTTTCCCCCACAATTCCAAAGATGTGGTATAGGTGAAATGGGTAAGCTAAATTGTTCATAGTGTATGTGTGTGAATGAGTGTTACCCAATGATGAGTTGCAGTTGGAAGGGCATCTGCTGCTGCTGCTGCTGCTGCTGCAAAAAAAAATAAAAAAAAAATAAATATATATATATATATATATATATATATATATATATATATATATATATATATATATATATATATATATATATATATATATGTGCTGGATAAGTTGGATAAGCAGTTAATTTCACTGTGGCAACCCCTGATTAATAAAGGGACTAAGTTGGAAATTTTATTAACATCTACCCCTACCACAAACCAAAACCTTCCCCTCACAGTAATTGTTGTAGAGTGTCACAAAAACTATGCTATATTGATGTATCCACACAGCTGTATCACATCAAGACGTTATCCAAAGACATTTTAATATACCACACACAGAAATGCGATTTGAATTATGGGTGTGATCCTACAGTGTTCTCGTGGTTTGATTTGATTATGATTAACATACAGTATCAGTGCAGTTCAATTAAATGCAATTCAGCATGAGGCATTAATAATGCACTACATTCTCAGTTTACAATTTTACTTCACATGTAAACAATTCTGTAAATAAATTCAAGCAGTTAGATACAGTATATCTCTACAGAACCTTTAATTTTACCTGTTAAAGAAAAACACACATCTTGAAGTTATCAAACATCTGATGAGTGAAATTGACATGTTTAGCATTCTTTTCGATGCTCAGTGAGTGGGAGAGAAGGATTTTTTTATTTTTTTATTTTTTATTTGTTTGTTTATTTATTTATTTATTTTATTATTTTAATTTATTTTATTTATTTTTTTACAGTCTGCCTGTTACAACCCCT